AGGGGGGGGTTAAAATCCATTTTTTCTTTATTTCCCTCATGATATTTGCTACTCTCTCCCAACCATTACCACCTAAAATTCCTTGCTTAGTTTCTTCTGCATCCCCAGCCAGCTTTCAAATAAAAGTTAATTTCAGTTTCTTCAGCTACTCTGCTATCTCTGAAAGAAGTCAACCCCTTTCAATATTTTTTCTGTGTTTTATTGCTTCACGAAAAACAATTATGAAAGGATAGGATAACAACATAATATCTAGTGGAGAATATGGCGGAGAAGTTATAAAGCTGGAAGAAATCTTACTATCATTGTATCAGCGTATCGCTGGACTTCACTGATTTTCTCACTTATAAGCTTATATATATGCTGTTCTCTTTGCCTGGAACATTTTATACACACAGGCCATCTGCCCAGCTCTGTTCCTTTTCTCCTTACCCTTTAAATCTAAGTTTAAATTTTACTTCCTCATGAAGGCCTTTCTTGGAACTCTTGTCTAGATGAAGATACCTGTATGTCCCTGTAGCACATGGGTTTCTGTATACTTTTTTACTTAATGTCATTTTCCCCCCTAAAAAACTGCAAACTTAGTAAGAGCAGTGCCATATCTCACCTATCCTTCGCTCTATTCCCTGCTCAGTTAAATATTGTGGAATCAGTGGATGACTGGTTAAGGGGGAAAATGGCAGGAAAGAGAAGGGGAAAAAAAAAAGAGAGAATAACCCAGTCTTCTTAGGGGTCCCTCCTAGTTCCTTGATTCTTGAAGTGTGAGCTCTAAGGCATCCATTGCTAAGAAAATACACTTCCTGAGCATCTTATAAACATCTTATAAATATGTACCCTTTTGTTTTCAGTCTCTGCTACAGACAGTTTGTCTAAGATATTTACACATTCAGTAAGTTTCATACTTTCGCAGTTCACAATATTTTATTGAGAAGAACCGAGAGAAGTGGGTTGTTGTTTTTTTTAATTTAAGAGAGTGAGGGAGAGGAAGAGAGAAACATCAATAGATTGCCTTCCATATTGGCCCCAACTGGGAATTAAACCCACAACCCTTCAGTGCACAGGAGGACACTTCAACCAACTGAGCCACATCAGCCAGGGCACCAAGAGAGGTTTTGAAGACTGGCATGAGGTCACCAACTTTTTTTTTTTTTTTTACACCAAGATAGGTACTGTCTTTGACTAGAGAAGCCTGGCTTCTTTGCCTTGTAGCCAGTGATCTTCAAACTGTAGTGTGGAGTCTGGTTCTGCAGATACGCCTCAGCAGCTGGAGATAAGGGAGGGTCACACCCCCTCTTTGATCAAAGTCACCTTAATCATAGATCTTTTTTTATCAAATTCTTACCTAAGCCTATTTTGCCAGGTTCTTTTTGATTCCTCCTTCTGGTATCCAACTTGTCCAGAGAATCATCTTTCATATTCTAAAACTTCATATTAACAATGAAAATAGCACATACAATGACAAGAAAGCCCATCCACTTCACAGGAGCTTTTTTTCCCACTTTTGACACCTAAGGGGTGGAATTTTTGTGTTGTGATAGAGCATTTAAAGCAGTAAAATACTTTGTTTCATGACATCTCTAATAATGAAAATAGGTAATGCTTTTTTTTTTTCAAGGACTATATGGCACCTCCTTCCTCTAAGAAAAAAACCTACTTTTGTTAAAACGCCTTTCAAACTTATGTGCTTTTATTCTGGCAACTTTAAATGTTATATTTTGAGAAATGCATGTTGTATTCCTCTGGTTACTGTTCTAAACTTAAATACCTCAGTTCCTTTTAATAATGTTTTCTGTAGTTTACCTCTCAGTTAAAGAGGGGACATGCCCTAAGGCAATAGAGACCCAAAGATTCATATTCTTATATTTTTTACATGACAGAATCGTATGTTTTCTTTAATCATTAAGGTTACTCAGGCACAGACTTTAAGAGCGAAACGGGA